TTGGATTACAAAATATACTGGTATATATAAACACAAACAGATGATTCTTCTCAGTAACATATAAAGTCACTGTAGCAAGAGAGGACAGCAAACGAAAATGAGTGTGATACATATAGAAGAAGGCAGGCAAACCTTAAGAGACTTACAACACTATAAAATAATGGTTCACTTTTAGTACGTGGAGATAGGAAGAGAGAATTTTATTTTATTGGACCAACTTCTGTTTGTGAGTAAGATGAGCTTTTGAGATGAGGTCGAAACCTTGTCTTGCTTATCAACAGAGGTTGGCTCAATAAAAAAAATATCATCTCACTTAACTCATGTCTCTAATATCCTGGGATCAACACAACTACAATATTGCATATGTTATATGATTATGTTATACCCAGATCTTTGTTATGTGAAGGGGAGGGCAAAGAAGGCAGGGTACAAGAAACTTTGACTTTCTCCCTTCACCACAGGTGTAAAGGAACTTCAGACTTACAGAGAGACTTCTATGACTCCAGGGGATTGGGAATAGTGTCAGAAGATTTTAAGTTTTACCTTCCATGCAGAAAAAGGATACGCTAAGATGGAACTGAAGGGAACAGGATGAACAGCATGAGTAAGTCTGTTTCCCTTTATTTGCTAGCAAGTTTTCTACTTTTGGGTTATCCATGTTATCCATAATAATGGAATGTTTACAATTAAACAATGTTTTGTATTGATATTAATTTCAGGAAAATATTTCAGTTCTTTCATGAACTTTTTTTTCTTAAACTAAACCTCGGGACTAAACTAACTAGACTGTTCCTGAAATTTGTTTGTCCATTAAGGATGTTCCTGACCATGCATCTGTTTTATTGTAACAATCAATTTTGAGGGGATAGTTCTGTACCTAAAATTTTTCAGTAAGAATATTCTGCTATTTATATAATTGCAACTGGAATGCAAGATAAGACTGAATTTGAATAAAAAAGTTTTTTTAGACTGTACTTTTATGGGGTGCCATAGTGCCCTGTCTTTTCTTTTGATCTCTTTATCACAAATGCATACCACGTTGTTACCCTTGTAACTATAAGAGTATGTCTACACTACAGAGGAAGATTGAAGCTGCCACTTGCAATCTTCCAGGGTTCAAATTAGCGGGTCTAGTGAAGACACACTACTTCAGACTGAAAGGGGCACTCCAGTTGATGCCGGTAACCCTGCTTTCACGAGGAGCAAGGGAAGTTGAAGGGAGACTGTTCTCCCTTCAACTTCCTGCAGTGTGGACAGCACCAAAAGCTGAGTTAAGCTACTTGGACTGCAGCTCTGCAATTAATGTATCAGTTTCACACATACAGAATGGGAAGCGACTGTCTAGGAAGGAGTGCTGCAGAAAGGGGTCATAGTGGACCACAAGCTAAATATGAGTCAACAGTGAGACATTGCTGCAAAAAAAGAAAGTATGATTCTGGGATGCATTAACAGGAGTGTTGTGCGCAAGACACGAAAAGTCATTCTTCTGCACTGATTAGGCCTCAGTTGGAGTATTGTGGCCAGCTCTGGGCATCATATTTCAAGAAAGGTGCAGAGAAATTGGAGAAGGTCCAGAGAAGAGCAACAAGAATAATTAAAGGTCTATGAGGGATGACTGAAAGAATTGGATTTCTTTAGTTTGGAAAAGAAAAGGCTGAGAGGGGACATGATAGTGGTTTTCTGGTATTTAAAAGGGTGTCACAGGGAGGAGGAGGGAAAATTGTTTTCCTTGGCTTCTGAGGATAGGACAAGAAGCAATGGGCTTAAACTGCAGCAAGTTTGGTTTAGGTTGGACATTAGAAAAAACTTTCTAACTCTCAGGGTGGTTAAACACTGGAATAAATTGCCTAGGGAGGGTGTGGAATCTCCATCTCTAGAGAGATTTAAGAACAGGTGAGACAGACATCTATCAGTGATGATCTAGACCATGCTAGGTACTGCCATGAGGGAAGGGGATTGGACTTGATAACATCTCAAGGTCCCTTCCAGTTCTAGTGTTCTATGATTCTGTAAGTTGTGTATCTTAATTCGACCTTGTCCCGTAGTGTAGACATACTCTTAGTGACCAGGGTGCTACTAAAAATGCTCTGACATGAGCATCCGGTCTGTGCCCTAGTGACATGGACAGTGTACAAGCAAGATGGTTCCTGCCCCAGAGGACTTTCTCAGTCTAGGAATGAGACCCCAGAACAGGGATAGGCACAGACATTTAACCCTGACCCCTTTTTTGAGCGAGGCATGTTCTGTGCCCTTTGGCCCTGCAAGAAGTTTACTTTCCCTCTGCTCCCGTCATAGCAGGAACTCACTCTTCCTTCCCTCCCATCCTGGCCCAGCAGGGGCTGGCTCTTCCTTATCCCAGCCTTCTGGTGGCCCTGAGGAACTTGCCCTCTCCTCTTCATGATGGCCCTGGGGATGGAGGTTTGTATCCCCAATGATTACCGGGGACTGTTCCAGCCTTTTCTCACCACTGCAGCTTGGAGAAAGGTCTGAAGCACCTGCCTGTGGCTGCTGTGGCTCTAGCAGGCACAGCTGGCAGGAGTGCATGTCCCTTGGCTGACAGACAGACAGACACACAGACAAACTCTCAAGTTAGTAGATAGCAGGCCTGCCGATGAGAGGAGGGGGAGAAGTGGAAGTTGGACCCGGAGATTCAAAGGAGCTCAGAGCTCCTGGCTGCTGCTACTACAGTGGCAGAGGTGGCAGTCAAAGAGTCCAAGACCCCTTTGAATTGCTGCTAGAGTGTCACACTGGACACACTGTGTGGCTCTGAGGCCTTGGGGGAAGGGCCACCACAGTCTAGGCAGTGCTGAGGTTTGGCTGCCCCTAACCCTGCCCCTTCCACTCAAGGCCCTGCTTCTTCTGGGGGCATCGATCTGGGCCCCCTGCACCTTCACATATAGTGGCTGTTGGCCCTGCTGGTAGAGAGCTGTCCCTTTCTCCACCTCTGCCTCCTGCTGCTCCAATGGGGTCAGAGCTGTCCCAGTCCCATCTCTGGCCCCTAACTGCCCCCTGTGGTCATTATCTACCACATATATGTGAGAGTTTTTCTGTCTGCTCAAAAACTCCTCCTGAACGGTAAGCGCTAAGGCTAACAATTTGGCACACAACTTTCCTCTTATCACAACTTAAAGCAAGGTAAGGGTTTGGTTGTGTTAGGAAAATGGGATGTGTCTAGAATGGAGGGCTGAAGCTCCCCCCTCCTCCTGATTCATACAGGAACAATGCTGGCTGTTCCCTTTTGGCAAAGAGCAAGGGGAAAGCGCACAGTTCATTGCATTCCTCAATCTGGCTGGCATGTGCAGGCAGGGGACAGACAAACGTGGCCACTTGCTCCTTCCTGCCTCCCCGATGGCTTGATTAATAAGTGCTGTAGAGACAGAGGTAAGGTACTCTCAACATCTTTAAATATAAAGGACTGGGCTTTTGAACGTTGTGATGTGTCTGCCTTGGGAAGGAGGGACAAGCAAGCCATAACAGAAATGAGCAATTTGAAAATATAAGAGGTAAAATACTAGTTTACTTTAAATCAAAGGGAGCTTTGCTGGTTACTTTAAAAGGGCCAGAATTTCACCCATTGTCTTTATTCGCTGACATGTCTCAACAGAGATGGCCATTTTTGCGCAAAAACCAGCAGAGCGTCCACACCTCAAGCACGTTTTTGCGCAAAAAAAAATACAGTAAATTGACAGGAAAGAGGACTTTTGCCGGTAGAGTTATTCCTTTCCCTTCTCCCCCATCTTATGAAAAAAGGCAGGTGTGGATGCTCTTCAGTGGTTTCTTGCGCAAAAAGACCCTATCAGAAGAAGCACAGGTGCTCTGATGGCCACTCTGTGAATGCCCATCAGAGCTTTCTTGCTCAAAAGCGTCCATGCAGCATGGATGCTCTCTTGCAGAGAAGCACATCACTTTTGCAATGTGCTTTTGCAATGTGCACGTGCTTTTGCGCAAGACGCTTTTGCGGAAGATCTCTTCTGTAAAAAGCTTCTTGCGCAAAACCCCTGCAGTGTAGACAAAGCCTCAGTGAACACACTCATATGTTAGAACAAGCTTAACCCAAGTCCAAAAGAATAAAGAGCCTTCTATTCAAATTATTTTTAAATGAGGATACCCGATCAAACAAGAAATAATGGGCCATTTGAATAGCAGGGCAGGATGTCTGCAGGCAACAAAAATAAAAGCTTCATATTACTTCTGTAACAATCCTTTCTATACAGTCACGGAAATTTTTCCTGTGGAATGATGGAAGTGATGTCCTGCTTCACACTGTGTTCTGAGTGAAAAGTTTTCGTCCTGCTGCCTTCCCACTCCTGCCTCCTGGCTGCCAGGGGAAGGGGCCTGTCTGGGGTGAGTGCTCCTGGGTCAGCAAGTGGCTGTTGCGGGGACAGGCCAAGGTGACGCACTGCAGCACTGAGGCAGCGTGAGGCCTGCCACCCCTCCCATTTGCTCCTGCAACCTGGAACCCTGCCCCCCTCCTTTCTGCAAGAGCAGCACGCCAGCAGCGGCTTCCAGAGGGGGAGGGGAGAGAGGAGGAAACCCCGAGGCTCTAGAACCTGGAAGCAACTGCCCAGGCTGCCTCCGGCGGAAGAAAGCGGTGGGGACCCCCACGCTGCCTCAGTGCTGTAGGCTGCTGCCTTGTCGGGGCCCTGGAACAGGCACTTATCTGTTGAGAAGGCCGGTTCCCCCCAGAAGCCGGGGACATGGGAGTGGGAAGGCTGCTGAGGGCAGAGGAATGGCAGGATGAAAACTTTTCCTACAGGACGCAGATGTCACTTCCATCTTCCCACAGGATTTTTTAAAAATATATAGTAAGGATAAAGTAACAGTATTTTATCCATTTAACATAAAGGTATTTATGACACCTAGAAGCCTGACAATTCACCATAAACACTAAATTTACTATATATTTGAGTTTGTCTGACTATCCATCTGTTCAAGAACTCATTCTGAACAGTAAGAGCTAGGACCACCAAGTTCAGCATGCAGCTTCCTCTTATCGTAACTTAAACAAGGTAAGTGTTTGGTTGCACCATGAAAACAGGAAATGCCTGGAATGGGATTGCTTTCCATAAAATCAAACATAAAAGAGTCACCAGGCAGTTGAAAGGAGCTGGCTGGGGATGACACACCTCAATTTAGAACTGCTCCAGACCTGAGCCTCCCACCCTCTCAGGTGCCCTCTAAGGAAGGGGAGAGAGGAGTTTAAGGTCCCGCCAATTTGCACATGATGTTGTTGGCTATTCCCCTTCATCCGGTAGAGGAGGGGAAAGCATACAGTTTGCTGTGCTCTTCACACTGGCTGGAGAGCACAAGAGGCAGATGAACCTGGACATTCCCCAGCCAGGAGACATGCCCCCTCTGGGGCCCCGACTATGCCTGCTTAAGCTGCAGAAGCCATGGAGAGGTGCTTCTCACCTGGCCCCAAACTACTGTGGTGAGAGAGAAATGGGGTATTCTGCTCTCCTCGGGGCAGTCTGCATATTGAACCTGTCATCCCCAGCCCCTAGCCCAGAGCAAAGATTTAAATGAAGAAAAATAAACATTTTTTGAGTTAAGGACCCGAGCGACATTTGATACATCTTCTAGTCACACGTAACACAAAAAATAACTTAAAATGTGTTAATGAAACATTACCTAGTTGACTCTCTCAAACCCAAGTATTCGTGTTCACAGGGACATAAGAGCAATGAAGTGATGTTACAGTCTAAAGAGGAAAATGCTAAAACCAAGGTTCGGATTCAGGAACTAATGGCTCACAATCCTGTACTCAGGCCTCTGAATATTCTTCCACTCCATAAAATGTAACAGTTCTTAATAACAATTAGGAGCCAAACCCTATACCAATGGGGAACTTTCGTCATTAAACACATTATGAGAGATTCTTATAGCATGAAAACATCTGCAGCTGTGGCAACAGGACAGGAAAAAAAGGAAAAGCCCCACCTTCTGAAGGTAAAAATTCTAGTGGTGCATGATTAAACAGTATAATTTTTTAAGAAAGCAGATTTCCACAATAATGTATTTCCCTATCATAAGGCAGAGATTGAGAACCAAAGAACATGAGATGTTTAAAGATAAGTTTTCTGTAGAAATTTATCCTTGTGCAATCAAACTGTTATTCCTGAACTCGTTTCCAATGGTAAGCAATAAGATTCCATTATTTTGGCAGGCACATATTAAAAGAAAATTCATGTTACTTACTTATTTCTAACTGTCGCTGTATCCGTCCTTTGCTGCGTTCTCGAAACAGGGTCTGGGTCTCATTGTATTCTGTCATAACCTCCACAAACTTATGGGACAATATTGAGTGCTAGTTTTGAGGAATAACAAGAATATTAAACAACAAAATGGAATTGAAAAAAAAAGTATCCTTCTCATTCACCATCCCACAATATTGGAGCTTAGTTGGTTTTGTTAAAATGCTCAGATTTCCTCCTGAATAATTGATGATCATACCTGAGATTTTCGTATCCTGAGGTCAACTGATGTTCGATTAACATGTCCATCTTGAACAAAAGTTTGTTCAATTGCTAGGGAGAATATAAGAATTCATACTATAAGGTGTTAAGAGTACAACAAATAGCACAAGTTTTAACACAGCAAACATTTATTATTTTATAAATAATAATTAGTATTGTTTCCTGTTCCTGACCCCCAAAAAGGTAGTTTCTCTTAAAAAGTTTCCCCACGTAATAAAAACCAAACATATTAATGATACACAGTGAAAGGTTAAGAATATAACTGTTTACACAGCCAAATTTAAAAAATTTTACTATAATAATATTTTATATTTTCTTAAAGATTGGAATATCCTACTATGATACAGGCTATAAAAACACATATGTATATACATATATTTACCTCATTACACAGAGAGGTAAATTCCAAAATTCTTGTGACTATTAGAGTACACCTAATGTCACAAATACATATATCAGGGTCTACAAAATATTTAAATCACTGAGCTTTTTGCACTTACCCTTTAACTTAGCTCGAATTTTATTTGCAATTTTCTTGATTTCTTTGTTGAGGTCCTCGAGTTCTTCCTTTGTTCCTTTTTAAAAAGAATGTGAAACATAGTTTTTAGAATAATTAATAATTAATTCTAAGCCATAATGACAAGTAAGTATACTTTTTGGAAGGTCTCCAAACTATCTTCTCTAGAACCTTACCACCTAAAACTGACTGCAAGCATTCTAAAGCATGAAAACTGAACAAATGGAGTATGGTTGGATGGGATGGGATGCCTAAATTTTTAAGTTACCAAGCTTGTAGTGGATTATATTAAAATGTATTCAATACATAGGTCATTTGTCATCTATTTTCAGTTATACGGAGGGAACTAAAAATGTACACATACATGCTCTTTTCCAGCATTTCTATATATCTAAATATGCTGATTAACTCTGCATTACTGCTGGGGGGTTCTGGGGATGGGGATAGTATTGGGGAGCTCTAAGGGGTAGGGGTTCTAACAGTTTGGAGGCTAACACTGGGGGAACACTGGGGTGTCCAGGGTGGCAAGCTTGCACTGGGGGAGCACTGGGGTTGCCAGGTGTCTGGTTTTGAACTGGACAGTCCAGAATTTGTTTCCCAAACAGAAAACTCAAATTGAGAAAATATAAATGAGAAAATATAAATATCTGGTATTTTCTAAATAAGATGTCATGTAGATTGTGATATACTGTCAAGACTGTATGGTACTTTTTGTTGAAACCACAGGCAGCAGCAGCACTCAGCTGTCAGCTGGAAAGCAGTGCAGGGCTAGATGAGGGGGGCAGAGCAGGCACTGGAGGTTCCAGGGGTGGGGCTAATATTGGGGATTGGAGGCTGGCACTGGGGAGGGCTCTGCGGGGGTTGGGTGCAGTGGGGCTTTGGAAATGGGAGACTGCAACAGTAGGGCTGGGGGGCATTGGGTGCAGAGGACTCTGGTGTCAGTGACTAGCACAGGAGGATAGTGGAGGGGGGGGGCTATAGGGGTTAGGGCTGGCACTGAGGGGCTTTGGGGGACAGGGCTTTTTATATCCCAGATTGGCAAACCCATTCACAAGCTTTAGGCGGACTAGTACCATTTTATTTGCATATTCATTATCTGTATAATGAATATGCAAATAAGATGTTACTGGTCTGCCAAAAGTCTGTGAATGGGTTACTGGTCCCCGGTATAAAAAATGTTGGGAACCATTGTTCTGGAGAACTAGATTCAAATCAGACGAGATGTTTCTGGTCTCAAGTAGACCTTAGAAGAAATTTTTGGAAATATTCAGTAACATCTTAAAAAGCTTGTGATCATAAAGTAACAATTATACGTATACAGAGCTAATATTAAAATCCATCAGAAAAATTCTGTTCTTAAGACAAAAATCCCAGCATTTAGACCTATATAAGTTAGATGTCATCCCATACTAAGCCCACAGAATCTCGAATTTTCTCATTCTTCTTTCTCTGCTCCTTCTCCTACTCATCTTTGAAATTTAAACTCATGTCTTTCAAACAGAAACAAAATAAAAGTCATATAAAGTGTATTGAGTTTTTAATTAAGGGAAAATTTCAACTAGTTTTTTTTCTTATAAATAGTGCATTCTATATTTCTGTCTATCTATGTTTTCCCCCTAACCACAGATAGTCCCAAGCACTGCCCATTTTTCAGTGAAAAAATATACAGCCTAATAAAGAGGGATTTAGCTAAGCACAGACAGCTTTAATTTGCTTATGGATAATACCATTAGAGACATTAAAGAGGGAGCTTTTCTAAGGAGTCTAAATTACTTGGCACGAAGTCCTGTGGCACCTTTTAGACTAACCGAAGTCAACTCCACTTGGTCAACTCCAGCCTGATTCTGGCCTGCATATTTATACCTGCCTCTGGACATTTCCACTACATGCATCTGACGAAGTGGGTCTTTGCCCACGAAAGCTTATGCTCCAACACTTCGGTTAGTCTATAAGGTGCCACAGGACTCCTTGCCGCTTTTGCAGATTCAGACTATCCCGGCTATCCCTCTGATAAATTACCTGAGAGCACAAACCCAACCGAGAATTAGCAGAACTTGAACTAAGTCAGAGAGGCACTTTGGAAATTCTGCTCAATAATGCTGAATTAACAAAAAATGGTGAAAAGTGACAGAGCTTCTTAAAAAACTAGAATGCATACAAGTGATGTTTTAGGCAACTGTGTTGCAATTAAACCACTTTTTAAAAAATAAGCGATTATTACAGTTTTAATTAGTTTCTCAATATTTACTCTATGTTAGCATCTTCCACTGCATCTCCTGAAGACAATTTATATATTATAAAGGCTATTTCTCACCAATGACTATATATTGACTCCTACATCTAGCATTTAATAACACTTCATTATTGTAGTAAAATGAGGGCCTGAAACAAAAGTCCATGTAGCACAGGCCTGAGGCCTATCTAACAAAGGCCAAAATTTGCTAATATAAAAGCAAAGCTAAACTGCAAGCAAGAGGCAGGCCCCTGTTCACAGGACTTGGCACAAACAGGATTGATAGTGTAAAACTCTAACTAGTAATAGGCCCAAGTGTAGAACAGTAATTGGTACCAGTTACCAGTTGTAAGACAGTAATTGATACTGGTCATAAATTGAAAGTATATTAAAAAAGGATGGTAACAATAGCTTGTTAAAAGGTACCTTGGTATCCACACCATGAAAAACATGTCATGAAAGTAAGTGTCACTGGTGCCATTGAAATGATAGCAGTGTATTTTGCAGTATAATTTTCTTTGCAATAAATACAAAGATGTTGTAAATATTCAGGTTTTCGGTTTTAAAAGATTATGGATTGGCAAATGAAGAAAACAATAATTTGTCACCAGTGGCAAAAGTAGCTTGTGTCTATGACTAGAAATGCAACTGTGATTGTAGGCAGTAATACTGAAATTATGTATATCTGATTCTGTTGCCCATTAAAAGAGTGTGTTACAAACTTAAGGAAAGTTTCAAAACAAATTTAAGATAGGGATTATCAATATGAATACTTGGGCCTGTTTCTCAGGTGCAGTAAGACCCATTCAGGCTACATACAGTGAAAATGAGCTCAAGTAAGGATTTCCCCAGAATGGAGTAAATCCTGAAGTGGCAAATGCAACCCTAATCACCCCCTTTCAGTCAATGGCATTAGGAATGTGGCCAGAGTTCTTCACTGATCCCCAGCTGCCAGAATGGTCATTAAAAAGAGGACAACACAGCTCCCACTGACCTATCCTAAATTCAACCTGGAATTAAGACAAAGATAGAAAAATATCTCAGTTATTGCTTCTAGAAATGATTAGGTTACATTTTAGACTGGCTTCTTGGTGTATGATGGCAATGATGTTTTGAAGACATTCCCTCTTTTATATGGGTTTTTAATGCTGAAATAGGTGATTTCTATGCATTTTAAATCCAACAGTAAAAAAAAATACCTTTCATAAACATAACATTCACCTTCTACTTAAAAGTTATATTCTCAATGAACTTTTGACCATTAAGAATAATTTAGAATAATTATCCACATATATTAAATATCTTAAAAGTTAAAACAAACTTACTGCCTTCTGGATTTGGTGCAGACAAGATAATGCTGTGTTTCTTCTTCACTTCTTCCACATTTTGTGCTATTTTAGTTATGCTATTTCTTATTTCCTCAACCTACAGGGAAAAAAAATGTGGTAATCAAGAGACTAAAAAAATTTGCTACCAACAAATTAGGGATAACTACAAAAATTCATTGTCAAAAGTAAGGAAATACAATATCCTAAACCATAAAAAGGTCAAAATAAAAAATATCAGTATTACTACAGCATTTTGTCTACACGAGAAACCTCCTAAAGAAAAACAAATAAATCTACACAGACATGCTGGTACAGTCCCAGCCAGGGTATTCTATTTGCTACCCAAAATTCAAAGCCTGGAAATCCTGGATGTTCCCACATCTTAGGTATTGGCATATTTACAGGATTGTCTGGCTATATAGGCTCTTTCCTTGGGCCCTATGCTACCTGTACTCCCAGCTTTCTTCAATACACACTGACTTCCTGCAGAAACTACAATCCATTGGTCTTTTGGAAAGGCCTCTAAGAATGTAGAAGCGCCCTCCATCAACATTCCACACACAACTATAGAGTAAAAACCATCAGGGACTGCATCCCCAATGATGTCACCGCACAGCTGGTTGCTAAGCTTTCTGACTTTGTCTTCACTGATAACCTTTACAGATTTGGGGATGATTTATACTTTCAAGTTAGTTGCACAGCAATGGGTCACATGGCCCCACAGTATGCTAATATTTCATGGCAGATTAAGAACACTTCCTCAGCTCTTACCCCCAAGTGCTCCTCCTTTATTAGCACTGAACTGATTATATCATCATCATCTGGAACCAAGATATGGAAGCCTCTGAAGAATTCCACAAGGATTCCAACAATTTCCACCCCACCATCAGTCTCAGCCGCCCTAGACCATTCCACACAAGAGATCCACTTTCTGGACTCTACACTGCAAATAAATAACAGTCACATTAACACCACCCCATATTGGAAACCTACTGCCTACTATACATACATACATGCATAGCTACATGCCTTCACTTTCACTCAGAACACATCACATGATCCATTGTCTACACCAGTGTTTCCCAATTGGTGTTCCATGGCCAAATAAAATTGAGAAACACTGGTCTACACTCTACAGCCAACCCCCTAAGATATAATCACATTTGCTCCAAACCCTCAGAGACAAACACCTACAAGATTAAGGATGCTAAAGACTAATCGACTATCCTATAAGCAAATGTAATCGACTAGTTGATTAAATAGAGGCAGAAAAGGGGGGGAATAAGGAGTACTTCAAAGGGAAGCCTCGGCATTTCTAAGAGGCAGTGCTACATAGCTGATCCCAGCTCAATTGTGCAGCGCTGACCCTTTGAAATGACTCCTTGCCATTTCAAAGGGACAGCACTCAGCTGATCCTGGGTTCAGCTGTGCAGTGTTGACCCTTTGAAACACCAAGGTGGTGTTCAAAGGGGCAGGGTCTCACAGCTGATCCTGGGACTTTCCAACTGACCCCAGCTTCACATGACTTTTCAAACTGGCAGTGCAGCATGGAGCCCAGGGTCAGCGGGGGACTCAGAGACTCCCACTAACTCCAAGCTCCATGTTGAGCTGCCTCTTTGAAATGCACAAGAGCCCCTGCTGGGGTCTCTTCTACATTTCAAAGCTGGCATGCCCGCATGCAGCCTGGAGTCAGCTGGCCCCAGGCTGCACGCGGTACTCCGCATTCCTCCTTTGAAATGTACAAAACCCCTAGTGGGGCTCTTGTACATTTCAAAGGAGGAAGAAGAAGTTACTCACCTTCGTTTAGTAATGATGTTTCTTTGAGATGTGTCCCTGTGAGTGCTCCACTGTTGGTGTCGGGCTCGTCCCGATGCCGCAGTTCAGAGATTTTCCCTAGCTGTAGTCAGCCAGACTGCGCACGTGCAGTAAGCGCCACATGCCGTTTGCGCCCTTTTCGTCTCGCACGGTCAGGCTCCCACCAGTTCCTCTCACTGCTCATTGATCTGAAACGAGAATAAAGGCGGCTCCAGAGCAGGGTGGTGGGCAGGACGAGCACCCATGGGGACACATCTCGAAGAAACATCGTTATTACATGAAGGTGAGTAACTTCTTCTTCGAGTGGTCCCTGTGGGTGTTCCACTGTTGGTGACTATACAGCAGTATTCGTCTGCGCTATGGAGCTAGATTTACTGTTACAGGCCAGAATTGCTGAAGCCACCGTTGAGTCCCCTGCCAGCTGACGTACAATTGCTGTATAAATGTAGTGCGAGATGACCACGTTGCAGCCCTAGAAATGTCCATCAATGGGACCCCTTTGACTGAGGTGGCAGTTGCTCTTGTAGAACGTGCTTTAGGGCAAGATTGAAGTGGACTATTTCGGATATTGTGGCACGTGGTAATGCATTGTACTATAAGGTTCGAAATACGCTGGCTGGATAGGGAACAGCCCTTGGAGCGTCTTGCGTATGATATTATCAAGTGGTCCATCTTACGCCATTCCCGAGTCCTGTGAATGTAGAAGGATAAGGCTTGATGTACATCGAGGGTATGTAACAAAGCTTCCTGAGAGGACAGAAGGGGCTTCGGGTAGAAGGGGGACAAAATATAGGCTCATTAATATGGAACTTTGAACAAACTTTTGGAAGAAAAGCAGGGTGCAGCCTTGAGGATTGAGTAAAAGTTTTACTGAGGATTGAGCAAAAGTTGTAAATGGTGGGTTGGCCATAAGCAGCACCAGCTCACTGACTCTTTGTGCTGACGTGACTGCTAGGAGAAAGAGGACCTTCACTGTCATCATTTGAAGGGGTGTTGAGGCAAGAGGTTCAAACAGATGGTACACGAGAGTGTCCAATACCAGGTTGAGGTTCCAAGAAGGAGGTGGTGGTATATGAGGAGGGTTTAGATTTGTTAGCCCCTTGAAGAATCTTTTAGCGATAGGGTTAGCAAATACCGAAGTACTGTCCACAGAGTGGTGGAAAGCACTAATGGCAGATAAATGCACTTTCAGGGAGGACAGCAAGAAATCCGACTGCTGTAGATGTAACAAGTAGTCTAGTATATGACGTAGCCATGACTTTTCGATGTCACGCTGGCAACACTATAGGGAAAAGCCATTTCTCCAGGTAGGTCGTGTGCGTAGATTGTCTCCTACTATGTATCAATACACGTTTGACTTGTTGTGAGCAAAGGTGCTCCAATTCCGTGAACCAGTCAAAAGCCAAGCTGTCAGGTATAATGTGTCTGGTTTGGGATGAAGTAGGCAACAACCATTCTGGTAAAGAAGGTCTGGGGGGGAGGGGGCCCGAGAGAGGGAGTAGAGGCTTCACAGACACTAGATGTAGGAAGGGAAACCAAAGCTGTCTTGCCCACGCTGGTGCAACGAGGATCACTTATCACGGTCTGCCTTGGTCTTCTCCAACACTCGAGGTATGAGGGGTATTGGAGGAAATGCATACATCAGCTGACCCTTCCAACTGGTTAAGAATGCATCGCCCATTGACTTCCTCCCCATGTCTGCTCTGGAGCAAAAAAGGCAGCACTTGGTGTTGTCTTTTGTGGCGAACAAATCTAAGCATAGTTCCCAATCGTGGTCGTGGGGGAATCTTCTGCTGAGATCGTCCGCTATGGTATTGTTGATGCCTGGTAAGTATGATGCAAGTAGGTTGATATTGTTTGCTATGCACCAATTCCACAATTGTATCGCCTCAGCACAAAGCGATCGTGATCTCGCTCCCCCTTGCTTGTTTATATAAAACATCATACCTACGTTGTCTGTAAGTATTCTGACAGTAACACCTGATATGAAGTCTTTGAAGTGTTTGCAAATGAGACGTACAGCTCTGAGCTCTAGCAAGTTTATATGCAGTGCTCTCTCCGTAGCTGACCACATGCCCTGAGGTGTCATGCTGTTCATATGAGCCCCCCATCATAGGAGGGATGCATCCATAGTTATCTGGAAGGCAGGTTGAGGATAACGGAATGGAATACCTGCCCATCAAGTTCTGTGATTTGGTCCACCAGAGCAAGGAGAGACAGACCTGAGGTGGAGGAGTAACCAATCTGTGGATGTCGTGTTTTGCTGGAATGTATACTGACGCTATCCAATGCTGCAAGCATCGTAAGTGAAGATGGGAGTGCATGACCACGAACATGGTGGCAGCCATATGACCGATGAGCCGTAAAGAAGTGTGATACGATGAGGGCTTGTTGTAGGACAGCAATTAGGTCTTGTAGCGCTTGGAACTGCTCGATTGGCAAGTATGCCCTTGCATTAATGAAATCTAGCATGCCCCTATGAAATTTATAACTTGATTGGGTTCCACTGTGGACTTCTGCTGATTGATAATGAGTCCGAGGGAGTCGAATGTGTGTCTAACTATAGATACCATGCGAGATGCCTCCTGCCGAGTTCTTGCCTTTAGCAAACAATCATCTAGATATGGGAAGATAATAACGGCATTGCGGCATAGATGGGCAGCCACCACCGATAACGTCTTGGAAAAGACTCTTGGGGCTGAAGCCAAGCTGAACGGTAGAATGCGGTTCTGGAAGTGAGTATTGTTGACTACAAAGCGAAGGAATTGACAGTAAGCATGATGAATAGTGATGTGAAAATAAGCATCCTGTAAGTCGAGGGCTGGAATTATGGATGTGAGTGACCATTTGAAGTGTTTTCAGAGGTATCGGTTCAGTCTTTGCAGATCCAAAATGGGCCTTCATCCTCCTGTTTTCTTTTGTGTTAAAAAGTAACAGGAATAAAACTCTCTTCCCTTGAACTGCAACGAAACCCTCTCTACAGCTCCTATTTATAGTAAATGGTGCACTTCTTGTTTCAGGAGTTCTTCATGAGATGGGTCCCTGAAGAGGGACAGGGTTGGTGGGGAGGAAGGAGGAAAAAGAAGTTACCCTGTGAAGTAATGATTGTTCTTCAAGATGTGCCCCGTGGGTGCTCCACTCTAGGTGTCGGGTCCCGTCCCAGCGCTGCGGCTTGGAGACTTTTCATAGCCATATTCCGCCGGCTCACGCATGTGTACTTCCCCAGGATAGTGTTTGCGCCTTTGATCAGCTGCATGCAAGCAGGCAACCGTCAGTTCCTCT